AGCCTTACGTATTTTGACCATGAAACATTTTATTGTTCATTCTTATCAGTGGGTTGCAATGTGCATTTTGAACCTTTACGCTATTCTATAACAATTTCGCGAGTGGCACGTCTAAATATTCATTTAATATTCAGTGCGATCCCATATCTATCGAAATACTAAAATTGTTGGTAATCCTTTTTTTTCAGTTTTTATATTTTCTCTGAATTCAAATTGAAACAATTTGATTTGCTGTCAGTTCAGGTTTGACAGCCCTGTTATTTATTGTGTGGATTATTTTGGTGTTATCTTTTCGCTTAGCTAAATGGATTGGAATTGCAAAAATGTGAACAAAAATTTGACAGTAGTTACTCTGGGTGGAACTGAAAGCATACTTTCATGCTGGAGTGTTTAATTATATAAATATATAATAAAATAAACTACATATAGTTGAAAAAAGAACCTATAATATGGTGTGTATTTAACTCAAATATAAATTATAAGCCGTAACTTTTGTAAAATTAAGAATTGCATAACATCGCTTGTGAGTTTGCCTGCCGGAAAGTGGTTTGACTTTTGTTGAGGTTGATAAACCAGCTAATTTGCCACTCTGACCAAACCTCCTAGCTAAAGCTTCTTGTTGTCTAGGCACGAATGTAACTTGTGCAGCGAATTTTGTATTTCTGTTGTCTTCTATAATTTGTCCATGAGCTTTTCTCTTTCCGCAATCAGTGGTATTCTCATTTGCCATAACTGTGGTGGTCTGTGCTTGTTGCATATTGCATGGCGCAGCAAGACTCTACCACAAAACTAATTATTGTCAGAAGACCCAACTGCCAGTCATGCAAATGAGTTGAAATTAACCATGAAAAAGGAGCTTAATGAACGCATTGCGCAAACTTCATTTGGCCCAGCTGTGATGCACAGAATAGCTTGACAGGAGTCGCAGTCAAAGTTGAAGTGAAATGTCATTGCAAGCATGTCAAGCTGCCGTTGACACCACTTTCTTGAGGGTCAAGGCTCAAGAAACTGACCTTCAATCAAAAACTCGTTAAAAATTGCTTAAATATCAAATGAATAAATAATTCATTGGCAAATTGCTATTATTAGCAGACCAATTATATTATCGCACGAAATAGTCAATAAATTGCTTTTGGCTACTGAATACCTCCACTAAAATGAATGAATAAATTCAATTAAAGTTGTGGTTTGAACAAAATAAATAGTGAGAAAATAAAAAAAAACTATTAGCTCCCTTGTTGATTTAAATGGATTAACTTCATCATCAATTTTTAATTTTGATTTTGAAATTTAATGTTGAAAATTGATAAGAATTCGAGGTGATTAGATAGACGAAAAGAATATGAACATAATTTGTGGTGTAACTTTCCGTTAAAACTATAGCTATCAAATGAAAACATACTCAAACAATATCTTGTACAAGAACATGTAATTGTCCGAAAATACAATTTACATAGTCTAATGTTCCACACACACCCACAAGTACAGACCACAACACAGTTGCTCGTTAATATGCAAGTAACATACAAAAAGATAGCAGAAACTCGGGTGCTTGGAATCAAACTGAGGCGCTCAGTTAACCAAGCATATAACGACAACAGCCACACAAGTGTTTATTTGGTTCATTATACAAACATTCATGAATGAGAAGGCAGTAAATGTGATAAATTGATGGTCTGTGAACCACAAATAGTCAGTTGGTTCGGTTGAATTGGGGCGAATAACAAGCCAAACGTCACCATTGACGAACCTATTTAATGCGGCGCCAAACTCATGGAATTTATAATAGGATATGGCACAGGTAAAATGGCAAGGGGAGGTAGCTGAAGAAACTCACAGAAATTGAGAAAGGGGTGCATCATACACCCACATTGCCATGCAAAACATATGCAAATCACAACGATACATTTGTATTTCCCTTCTGTGGGTAATATATATACATAGGTGCATAAGCTACTCCCTGGTGTATAATTTACGACTGAAATATGCAGCAGCCTCTGGCAAGGTATATGGAAAATGTTAGCTTAGCACATTTGTAAGTCAAAGAGCTCAAGGCAGCCTAAATAGGTAAAAGCCTGAAAAGGTTTGAGTCTATTCACAGACTCAAGGGGAAATATATACCCTAATCTCATTGTAATAATACACAATACACTCAGAAAATTAAATATGCAGAGCTTAATTAAATTTAATGTGTAATCATAGATCAAGAATGAGCATATGTAAAGCATTTCCGACTTCGTACATTTTTTCCTAATTTTGTTAAGAACAAACAACTAAGAAGAATCCTTACAAGCATTTATTCCATTAGTTCTTGAACGCGATATCTGTAATTTTGGCTTTGTAATAAAGTACCGTAAAATACAAAGCATAAACTATTTTTGTAGCATACTTTTGGGCATATCGGACTTATACAAAGCTAAGGAATAATAAAGCTGAGTGCGGGGAGCAAGAGCAAGACCAAGAGAATGTCGAAAGCCAAAGCAAATGCCCTTTATGCTCACAGAAATTCGAACCACAGAGCGGAAACGGAAATGCGTTGTTATGGCTGCACTGGCATATTGTCTTGTACGGCTGCCACAGAATTTTTCGGAGTTCAAAGACTGGAGCTTGGAGCTAAGAGCTCAATTGGGCTGTTTTGCTTTTATTGTCAGCTCAAGTAACAAAAATATTTTTCAGTAAATTTGTATCATTGCCCTCTCGGCCCACACACACACCCACACACACATACGAAAATGTGGGAAACAACTTTGGGGCATTAGAGGCCAAGGGACAAAATAATGTCCACGAACTCGAGCGAAAGGTCTCGCGATTCGGCCTCTGCCTCACACAATGTAGTATTAAAGGACTCAATTCGAGAGCAAATGCACTTACTTATATCTATAAATCTTCTATTTTCTGCAGCGATTCTTAGAAATGTTCACACAAAAATGGCCAACTTCGCAAAGAGTTCCTTTTCTGTTTTCATTGTGCGGTTATTATCAATTTAAATTCTTTATTTTAATATAATGCTACTTCATAAATTTGTATAAAAGTAAGTATAATAATAAGTGTGTGAATTAAATACTATTTAAGTAAATAAGTAACTTGTCTAATTGTTTCTTTCTTTTTTACTTAGTTAACTAAAATAAATTCAAATGCTTATCAATTTGATTAAATCTATAAACACATTTTATATATCTTCTCTAAATTAACTAATATTTCATGAAAATTAATGACTGTTCATAATTCTTGATTCGTTTTCGATAGTTTTTTGAGCACCTTTCCTCCTCTGAAAAATTAATTCAAAATATAATTGCTTGATGAAAATCCAAACTAAAACGCAAATTAATTACACTTCCTTGGACAAATGAATACAAGAGATGTAAATTGACTGAAACGATGGCAACTTGACTTTCACTGACTGCGGAAATGTGCAAAAATGTGGAAGGCACGGTAGAAACCAAAATGTATAATGAATGAGGCAATTACTTGAAGCATGGAGGCAGCCAGCTGAAGAAAGACGGGGAATGAGCGGAACAAGCCGTATTGAAAGCATCTCTCGAGAGAGTTTCACGTAAATCCAATCAGAGATCATGAATGGGGGTAACTAGCAAAGTTGACAATGTTTGTCATCCACGCTACATTTAGTTGCATCCATTGAACACTCGATGATGCCGTCGATAATGCCTAAATCAACTGGAAGTGCTAAACGGGGGAAGGGAAGTGTCGAGGGACTGGCAGGAAATTGCGGGAAATGTGCTCGTTGTGGTTTCGAGTTGCTATCTATTAAAATCACTGAAACACAACATTCAATTAATGGTACTGTTTCTATTCTTCTGCCGAATATTTTATTCAGTGATTTTTTACTTGAGACTGCATGGGGATTTCATCTAACAATCAAGCTGCTATTTAAGTAGCTATAAGCCTTGTATATCTGAGAGTACTTAATGAATTTCCTTTCATGAAAAGGAGATATAATATTTATCAAAGCTCATTGGGCTTAAGATGACAGCAAAGTGATTCGCATCAGACTCGAACGATTCTGAATTCAATTTGAATTGAATTTGGCAATTTCTTAGAATCTTGGCTTTGACCTTAAATATCCTGTCTTATGCTCATTTTCAAATTGATGTAAGGGTAAGATAAAGTGTTGCTAAAGCTGAAGTTACTTGGAACATAAATATGCGAAAGCCTTCGGTAAAATTCAACCAAAGAGCTAGATGGAGGCAAATGTGTACAGCCCAAAGATATTTCGACAAAAAAAAGAATATATGGTGTGTAAATGCCCTAATTTCGAATCATTGATAAATAAAAATGGACACATTTTCTGCTTCCGCTTTTTAAGCATAAAATTATATTACACCATTATATTTATGGGTTATGGTCTGTTATGATTATTAATCTGCCAACCGAATTTTAGACTGTTTAACCATATAGAAGCAATAGTAATAATGAAAGTGGACTACTTTTCGATTCTCTTTTGATAGTTTCTGTTTCTACGCGAGCTATTTTTAAAGTTGATGACACTTTGAAACTGCTTTAGCTGTCATAAGAACAATCGGATAGAGAATAATTTGATATATGTAATATTTTCTTCCGTTCTGGCCAAATCAATATGCCCCCTTTACCACACTGGACAAAGTGTGCATAAGAACCGCAAAAAGATGAATTTAAGGGTCCAACGAATAGGCTCTAATGAACCAACGCCTGTCTGTCTGGCTTGTGGCCTGGTCGTATTTTCCGTTGGCTACGCAAATAACAACAAATTTGCTAATCCAAACACGCACAGCAATCAAAGGAAGTTCCACCTGCCCCAGGTGAGCCCCTAACCGAAACCAAACCGTCAAACCAAAATGAGCAGAAGGCACAAACGAAACTCGCATTTTTGGTAACAGATTTAAATCTCAAAATACTTGAATGAACAACTGAAATTGTGAAGACAGCTTCAACTCATTATTTGTTTAAAAGTAATTGAAAAACCCTTAAGGTAAACAGAGATAAAATGTAGAATTATCATTTACCAAGTGTTGGAATTTATATATATATATATATATATATAAATATATATATTTTATATTTTATATTTGCTTTTGCTGCTGCCGCTGACAGTTGCAGTTGCACGCTTAAGTTGCTTGTCGAGTGCGTTTTATACTCGCTTGTTCTTTGTCTCTCGACGTTTTCATTTTGCGTTAAGGTTAGTCTTGTTTTTTTGGGGTGCCAGCATTTTGTCCAGCATATCAGCTTCTTGATTTCACTTTTCCCTTTTTATCTCTGCACTTGGAGTAGCTAGTTTTTCACATGATTTAACATGCAAAGCTGAATTTCGAGTGCCAGTTACTTATGCACGACCGAACTTTTAATTTTATGGTGAATTTCACATTGTTATATTTAATTTAACTTTCTTTGTTTTGAAAATTCAATGCTGAATTTGTAAGCAACTACAATTGAAATGCTCTATTTAATTGCATAAAATTGTATAAATTGTTAGCTGTTGCTATTTTGATTTTACATCATTTCCATGCATTGTAAAATGCTTCACGTGTTGTTCAATAACAACATTACTCATACGCCGTGTTACACAAGTTGTTTTTTGCATTTAGTAGCTTTATTAGCTTACACTTCAATAATTGGCACGATTTGCTTCTAAAAATAGGCAATAATAAAATATTAGATGCAATTTTAATAACAATGCCTCCCCGATCTTTCTATAAACTGACATTTACACAATTTCTGCGAAATAGTTTTGTATATTGAAATTCTCAAAATTAATTTGCATGATAGACGACAAACGCTCAGAATTGTGTTCAATTCAATGCAAATTGATGGTTCCACATCATATGAATGCCATAAATTTAGGGTCTTAAAAATCGATTGAGAAGCGTAACTTATATTGAATGTTTCAGATTTCGTTCAAGAAGTATACATTTTTGAAGTAGATTTAAGAATACTATGAAACACAATATTTTTTTTTTTTTTAACGTTTTTTATAATGCGGTGTCAATTAACGTCAAAACAAGAGCAAAGTCTTACTAACTTGCATATAGCAATTTTTTCCGATATTTTACCAATTACTTTACTTTCTTGCTTTTAATATCACAACAACCGTGAAACAACCATATGAAAAGTATTCAAGCAGTGTCAGTTTTATTTCGATTATTTAATTATGTACATTATATTTTTACTTTAACCAGTAATATTCAAAATGTTTATTTTTGTTATTATTAAATTCATAATTAATTTGAATGCAAAATTTGTTTTTAAGTACAGCGCTTGTAAAAATGTCAACGATTTTCAATTGCGTTGATTTTATATTTTTGTAATATTTTTTTAATTATGTATATATTATCACTTCACATACACAAACAACAACACACATTCGATAAGTTTTTCAACACAGTGCTTAATTTATGTAAAATCCGTTATCTGAATCAGAATCTGATCGGAGCAATGGAAGCTTTTCCACTCCTCACATCCGATTCGTTTGAGTGGTCGCGGCAGACTAAGCGGCTACAGACATATCCTAATCGGAATTAACGTCGAGACTACCCGAGTGCTACCGACTGTGCTATGTTAAGTGACTGTTAGAGACTGACAGCGCTGCTGTTAAACAACAGAAAGTGGCGCTGTTAGCTGTCGTTTTGTTGTGGTAGGTTTTGCATTTCGTATTGCATTGAACTTGAACTAGTTAGCCAGCAAGTTGTTGTTTTTCTTGTCTCTGCTGTTTTGCTTTTGTTTTTGTGCCACCTTTTGCCGGCTATGCTGTTGGCGCTGGCGCACTGCTCCTCTGTGACCATATTTCACGAAAATTAATTAAAAAATCTGACTGATTCACTTAATCCGAATACAAATATTTGAATTTTAAACATAAAACATTTAAGCATAAAGTATTACAATAATATGTTGGATTAAATAATTAATATGATTGTATAATAAAAGTTACAAATAAACTGTAAGATTTATTTTAATTTAATAATATGCTAATACAAACATATTTTGTTTTAAGAATTCTAATATTAAATTCTTCTCTCAGGTTAAAATATGCTAGCTATTGAAACATCATGTAATTTTCTTGATTATCCGAGAAAATATAGTTATATGCTTTTCTATTCTGACAAGCCTCTCAGTTATTCTTGTCTAGCCCTTCAGCTGTACATTTACTTCATACTACTACTATATCATATAGTTGCATGACACCTTATATAAAAAGCTTTGTACATAAAATTGTAGATAATTTGGATTTAATAGCCTTTATTAGAAAGTTGCTTTTCCTTCTTGTTTTCAACCTTCAGAGAGTATTTTGTGTTAGAAAAGTACTTGCATGCCAAGCAAGAACTATTTATAATAAATTCCACTTTAACAACCGATTCCAAAAGAAAAATATATACGGGGCACTGTTTCGGTTTCAGTGCACTGCAGTGTCACAACAAGTGGAATTTGTGTACGCTTTCAAAATCAATTTGTAGCACGAGAACTATTAATAAACAACGTGCGTTGCGGATCAATAGCTCCATGCCACAAGAGTCCGAAGCCAGCTCAATAGAAACACACATGTCTCTCTGAGTGTGGGCAAGGAAGCGGATATAATAAATGCACAAGCACAACATCAACACTGACAGTCCCGAAGACCTGAACACATTTTATTGACATTGCCATTAAATGAAAATCAGAGTAGCGTGTTGTGAATGCTCCGGAAGGGGCTTAGTTTCGGTGCTTGGTCGGGGAAAAAAATCAAAAGTAATTATTGACAGAATTTTAATATGCAGTTTGTTGAAGAATTATATTATTTATTTTATATAATATTATTATTATAAAAAGAGCGTTCCTTTAAATATAAATATTTTTGCAATTAATTAGATCATATCTTAGAAAGTTATTTGAAAATTTGTTTTGTATAGAATTGTATTTATGTAATTTGTTCTGGTTATTTTAAAAAATTATACATAAAAACCGAATTTCAACAATTAAAAATTTTGACTTTTGAGATATGTTCACAAGTACAAGGCTAGATATTATATAATAAAATTACATGACATGTCGAAACTAAATCTGATATCGATTGTTAGTTCTTTGACTGAAGTCCTTGAGTCAAGCGGCCAGCCAACGTGAACTTGACACTGAATACTTAAGAGAACTAGAAGTCCGCAAAGGCTGCGAGTGCCACACGGAGGTAAAGAGAAGAAAAATGCATATGTGTGCATAAAGGCTAAATGGATGCTCCTCTAGTGCGCAACGATTTGCTTGCATAAAAGTTTACAAACAAAAATCATAAATCGGAAACCGTAAAACTCAGTTCACCATCAAGTTTGCTAGGCACAAGTTTAGGGAGTCTCTGTTCAACATTGTTTGCAAGTTATAAGCCGCAAACTAGTCACAAAGTATAGTTAACATTGCCTTAACCCAACCGATACATGGGTTGTACAAAAAATAAACAGAGATTTACTTCCCTTAAAAAGCGAGATTAACCGAAAAAATAAATTTGTTAATTGCATTGAAGAATATGATTCATTTCATTGATTTTTCGGATTTCTTATAATTTTCCATATATGAGATTTTATATTTCTGTCTGGCAACTCCTTTGTCTTCCCTCGTATACAATATACGCATTTTAAAAATCAAATTGTAATTCCAATTTCTTCTTTGCTGGTCAAGTTCAAGTAGAAAAGTAGTCATAAGTCGCCGTTACAGGAATCAAGGGTGGACGGTGGTACAACTTAATATGGTATTTGATTCAAGTATTTTAGCTTAAGGCATCTTTAAGGAACTAGGGAGTGGCAAAGGGGTGGAGTCTGGAATTGAATGTGCGGCGACTTCAATGAACACGAACACAATTTGCGTCGCTTTATTTAAGTAAATTTACAAAAGAAGGCAAACACATCCACACGCAGACACAGCCATATAACCTGCACAAACACATACACCAGAGCTATTTAATTGATAAGTTAATTGATTTTTGTTCGGTAAATTGGAAACCCAAAAAATAAAAAACAAATTTTAATTTAAGCAAGCGGAAAGAAGTACTAAAAGGAGAAGGAGAAGGTGAGGACCGGATATATATAAAATATTGGTGTATTGAAATGAAATGAAGCAGAGAGAAGCTTCTGTTGAGTTCATTATTTTATATCGGTACAGATACCAAATCAATTAAAATTGAATCTGAAACTCGTATAAATTATTATAGTTTACAATTGTACATGTTTATTTGATACTGAATGAGCTTAAAAGTAGAGGAACACATTTTATTTCACTTAACAGTTTAAAATTGTATATAAAACTGTGTACAATTATTTGACGTTGAATGAGGTTAAAAGTAGAAATTGAAATTTTATTTCATTTTGACACATAATATCTGACTCGTTATGACGAATGGCGCACTTTGCTTTTAGTGAATTTATTTTGCTACGAAATCAGTAATAAAACAGCATATTTAACGCGCAACGCTCAAATCAGACGCATTTTATATGAACACTGCCAAATAGAAAATGTCCCCCAAGTGACACTTGAATCAAGCCAAGATGAGCATACAAAGCTATTAATTTTATGGAAGTGATGAGAATGCAGCATGTAAAGTGTTCATTTGCAATTGATTGGTCTAATCTTTGCTTTCCCATTAAATCTCAAATGTTCAATTGAATCGAATCGGAATTCGTTTAATTAATTCCATCACTTAAACGCTGCTTACTTACGTCGATATGGTATTCTTAACAATTCTTATTTTAAAACAGTCTGCCAACTTGTTACAAGTTCAACTAGAATCCACCTAGTTGTGAAATAATCAACGTATTCATAAAATAAGTTAATTTTATATATATATTCAGTTATACAAATATTTGTGGCATTTCTTAAAACATTGTTTAAAACAATTTTTGTTATTAGTTTAGTTACAAACCTAATAATATGATTTAATCTAGCTACAAGTTGTTATTGCCATGTTAACGCCTTTTGTTTGGCCTGTGCAAATTTTACGACCAGCTATTAAACGTTAGTCTAATGAAAAAGAATTGCCGAGAGTCGCATAAAAATGTCTACGCCCGAAAATTGCAAGTA